TGTTTTGCATGCATATATCTCAGTACATGCACACAGTGCTTGTGGAGGCCAGAAGATGATGTTGGATCCTCTGGAATTGGAGTTATAGAGGATTGTTCCTCAGAAAAAGCTGGTATAGGCCTTATTGAAGTGATATGCTCAAGTAATTGCTGGTAGCGGATGGTCTCTTCCGCCGGATTAGGACTTTGGAACTCTGAACTTGAAGTATTAACTTAGACCACTGTCATTTGAACTTTCTTTCTGCAAGATGACTGGTTTTCAGATGAAAATATGTGAGTTGCATTATTACATAAGTAGATAGAAAGAGAGGGATTCCGATTGGAAGTAGATATGGGGAGGGACATTTCTCATGGTGGCCCCTACAGCACTCATTTTGCTAAATTAGAAAACATAATTTGAAAGCCCTGTTCTATACTATTTACCATATAAATGGATGTTTTAAAATGAGAGATTAAAAATTCTTAGAGGGAAGAAGCCATTGTTTTCTCTAAGTTATTTGATCCCTATCCCAGTTGCCGACTCTCATTTGGAAGTTATTTTGAATGTTAGATTTAGAAACCATAGTTTCTTTGGTATTTTATTTAAATAGAAAAAAATACTATCTTGTCTTTAAAACATTTTCTTTCTTTGTAGAATTATTCCATGTCTGTATATCTTGTGCGACAGCTCACTTCAGCCATGTTATTACAGAGATTAAAAATGAAAGGTATTAGAAATCCTGATCATTCCAGAGCGCTGAGTAAGTAACATTTGTAAGACTAAGCACATGAGACACTTTAATGGGAAAGTTTCCACATACATACTAATGTTCAATAATATTTTTATTAATATATATGTATTAGCTTGTGTGTACAGTAACTTGTATTAGTTGCCCAGTAGACCAGATCACAGATACATTACCATATAGTTTACAGTTGTCAAAGGAAATAAGGAACATATCTTTTTTGTTTACAAGTTTAGTGGTTGTTGGGAACAGCCAAGGCAGCCTGATGAAAACACTAAGGATACTTGTTAGAGAAGCAGTCACACTCAGGCTCCCGCTCCAGTTCATACTCCTTTGCTAGTTGCTGCTTTTTGTTTTAAGACTGTTGTCACAGTCTTAAGAACAATTTCTCTTTGCTATTCTTCCTTGCCAGTAGTCTTCCTTTAAAGAGACCTTAAAAATTCATTTAAATGTGTGATCTAGAGTTTGCTAATTGATAATTCGTTAACCTTATCTTGGAAGAATGTTTCTCTTTTCAGAACATTAATGTTCAACATTTTATGTTTCTTCACCTATGCAAAGAGGTTATAAAATAAGATACTTTCTATATTTCTGGCCAAATATTGATTTTAAAACTTTTAAAATTTTGTTATTTTTTTTTCTTTTTAAAGTTAAAGAAAAACTTACAGCAGATCCTGATAGTGAAATTGCTACAACTAGTCTTCGGGTATCATTGATGTGTCCTGTAAGTAAAGTGACAAACAATCTGGCCAACTTTGCTTTTGATAAATAATTGTCATGTAAAAGTAAGAGAGTGGATGAATATGAAGGAATATTTTAGATGAATTCTGTCTTTTCCCATTTAGAAATATTCGTGATTGTTATTATTGTTTGTATTCTTTAAGCAATGATGAAGCAATAAGTTAAAAGACTATTTTATCAATGAAGTAAGACAGCCTTAGGCTCAGAAAAACCTTTCATAATTAATGCTGTAAATAACTCACAGTTTAGTAAAGGTATTAAGGTATTTTATGAGTGTGTGTGTATATATATATATATATTAATTGGGACTGGAGAGATGGCTCAGTGGTTAAGAGCACTGGCTGCTCTTACAGAGGACCCAGGTACAATTCCCATCACCCACATGGTGGCTAACAACCATCCATAACCCCACTTCCTCGAAATCTGATGCCTCCTTCTGACCTCCGTGGTCATTGCATGACACAGGTGCACTTACACACATGCAGGAAATACATTCCTGCACATAAAATAAAAAGTAATAAACAGCTGGGTGTGGTGGCGCACGCCTTTAATCCCAGCACTTGGGGGGCAGAGGCAGGCAGATCTCTGTGAGTTCGAGGCCAGCCTGGTCTACATAGTGAGTTCCAGGACAGCTGGGGCTACAGGGAGACCCTGTATCCAAAAGACCAAAAAAATTTTTTGTTTGTTTGTTTAATTAATTTTTTTTGTCTTTTCAAAAGACCAAAAAAAAGTTTTTTGTTTGTTTAATTAATTTTTTGTCTTTTCAAAAGACCAAAAAAAATTTTGTTTGTTTAATTAATTTTTTTTTTTGTCTTTTTGGGGACAGGGTCTCCCTGTAGCCCCAGCTGGCCTCAAACTCACAGAGATCTGCCTGCCTCTGCCTCCCGAGTGCTGGGATTAAAGGCGTGTGCCACCATGTCCAGCTAAGTATGTATAGTATTAAAAAGTAGCAGCAACATGACTGGAGTCTGACTAATGCTAATTGATGGTTTTGGTTTAGTGAGTTGGATGTGTGAGGTGTCTTTGTAATTTACTCTCTTTAAATTTACTTATTTTTATCTTATGTGTAAGAGCATTTTGCCTGCTTATATGTAAGTATACCGTAATGTATGCAGTGCCTATGGTTGCCAGAAGAGGGCATTGGATTTCTTGGAACTGGAGCTACAGATGGTTGTTAGCCACTATGTGGGTGCTGGGACCTTAACCTGGGTCTCCTGCAGGAGAAGCCAGTGCTCTTAACCGCTGAACCATCTCTCTAGTCTTGTAATTTACTTTTTTAAAAATTTGTGTTTATTTTATGTGAATTCAGTGTTTGCTTGCATGTATGGGAATGCCCCATGTGCATTCATTGCTCAAGCAGGCCAGAAGGAGGCATGAAATCCCCTGGAACTGGGGTTTTAGACAGTTTTCAGCCAGTTTTTAGTAGGTGCTGGGAACTGAACCCAAGTCCACTGGAAGAGAGCAGCCAACAGTTTTAACTGCTGAGCCATCTCTCCAGCCCCTGTAATGAACTTTTAATTTTTAATTAATTATTTATTTTGAGACAGAGATTCACTGTGTATACCTAGCTCTATATAGATATTCCCAATGTATGCAAGACTGTTCACAAACTCACTGAGATCTACCTGCCTCTGCCTCCCCAGTGCTGGCATTAAAGGCATGTGCCATCAACCCAGCCCCTATAATGTCCTTTCAAATTACACAACAATTCTTATTTTATATCTCCTTACATGAAGACTTGGGTGAGAAATCAGTCAGCACCTTTTCAGATCTTTTTGAATAATGTGTATTTGACACTGAACTAAGTGAGAGAAAGTAGGTAATGTAATTTGAGAGAAAACAACTCATGAAAAAGGTCCAGACTATATCTAATGAGTCCTGATCCTCATGCTTGTGCAGGTAGTGAACTACCATCTAACCCATCTCCCTAGCCCAGATGTTAATTTTTTTATTTTTATTTTTTTGGTCTTTTTGAGATAGGGTCTCCTTGTAGCTCCAGCTGCCTGGAACTCACTCTGTAGACCAGGCAGGCTGGCCTCAAACTCACAGAGGATTCACCTGCCTCTGCCTCCCGAGTCCTGGTATTAAAGGCGTGTGACACCACGCAGATGTTAATTTTTAAAAAATTTGGTTTATTGAAGAAATAATAGAAACGTATGAATTCAGGACTATATAGAAATCAGGACCTTCCACATTCATCAGATTCTGTGAGAGGGTCAACAGTATTAAATGGGTGGCATTAATGCCTGTTAGTGGCAGTGACTTTAGAGATATTTAGACCAACAGTGTCCTCTACTCATAAGCTCTGTGAAAACTTCAGGCATATTTCTTTTGTGTCTTTTTGTTCCCTCTCATATTAAAATTGTATCAGATTGAAACAAATTGCCATATTGGTAAAATCAGTTGAATTTTGACTTTGCTTTATTGCTTAACCCTAGTACACTCAGTAATATTGGCAATTGTAGTGTAGATACACAATCCCTGTATAAGGATGGAACACTTGCCACTTTAACACGTTATGTTGTCAAGCTAGGCTATGAGGAATAATGTGCTTCTACAGAGTTCACCTAAGGACACCAATGCCTAGCTTCTACTTGTTTTTTTGTTTTTTTCCCCAAAACACTTTCTAAGAAAATAGTGAAAGATGTGCTTTGAGCTGTGGTATTGTTTTTACAAATCTTATTTTCTTAGAGCCCTTTTTACTATAAGTAGATTGCTATTCCATGTGATAATCAAAACAAACATACTAACAAGAATCTTAGATTATTGATAATAGCAAAAGTAGTACATAATATATCAGAGTTGTTAGGATTCTGTGTGTGGTATGTGTGTTGGGGGTTATGGTGTTATGTACATGTTTTTATGGATGTGTGCACATTGCATGTATGTGAAGTCTAGAGATTGACATTGGGTGCCTTTAGTCACTCCACGTTATTTTTGAGGCAGAGTCCCTGAACCTGAAGCTCATCAATTTTGCTCATCTGTTCCTCCAGTGAGCTCTGGGAGGGATCCACCCATCTGTCTTCGTAGTGCTGGGTTTACAGTTGCGCCTTTCCATACTTGGCTTTTACACGGGTGCTAGAGAACCAAAATCAGATCTTCATGCTTGCACAGTACTCATTTTACCAACTGAGTCATCTTCCTAGGCCCAGGATTCCTTTTATATTAAAAATATAGATAGAGGCAGTTCATTTTAAACATGCTAATTTAATAAAGTTGACAATTAAAAAAATTAAAATTATTTGAAGGAATAATAATCATGGAATAGTTTATTTTTGTGGTGCAGGGATCAAACACTGGGCCTCAGTGTGCTAGTCAAATGTTCTATCACTGAGCTACACCCCCTGTCATCTTTATCTCATTTTAATGAAATATTCTCTGCTTATAAATAATGAGTTTTTGAGAATATTCCCAGAATTTATCCTATTTGATTATTTTTGGGTTGTTTTACTGTGTGATCCAGATAAGCCTTGAATTGATAATCTTTCCTGCTAGAATTACAGGTTTATGACACCGCTGCTTGGCTCCTACTTTTCTTTTCTTTTTGATTTGTGATGTATATTAATTCAAAAAAGGCAAATGTTTTAATAAGGGTTAATGGATGCATGACAGAAGTTGAATGATGGTTTTGAAGAAAAACAATCCTAGCATCAGTTAGGAAAAGCAAAATGGAGTCATTGACAGTTAATCTGTGAAAATAGCACAGGATCTAGTGCTATAATGGAAATGGAGAAGAGAAAATGAACCCTTGTGTATTGTTGTTGCTTTTGAGGCAAGGATCTCAATGAACTCCTGACTCCTGCCTTTACCTCCTGAGTGCTGGGATTATAGACATGCATACGGGTCTCTGATCCCATGAAGTGAGTCTTGAATTTATTTGGAAAAAATGAGGGAAAAGCAATAGCCTTGGGTAGTGGAAGAAATGTTTGTCGTGTTTCAAATAACTCTTTGAAATGACTCGGAGTAGATAAGGTTCTAGGTAGTGGAAACAAGTTATAAAACCTTTGCCCTTAGAACCTGCAGAAGGTAATTTCACATTAGTTATTGAAGCAGGAGCTGATTGAGCATGTATAATTGTGTTTCTGGTTATAGCATATACCTTAAAAATATTTTGTTTATTATTTTTATTTTGTGTGTGTGCATGTATTGCCTGCATGTAGGTAAGTGCACCCATGGCATGCAATGCCCAACGAAGATAGAAGAGGCTGCCAGATCCCCTGGAACTGGAGTTATGGACAGTTGTTAGCTACCATGTGGGTGCTGGGATTCGAACCTGGGTCTTCTGCAAGAATAGCCATTGTTCTTAACTACCGAGCCATCTCTCCAGCCCCAGAGTATATAACTTTTACATACCTTTTAATTTTCAGTATGTCCTGCACAGGTGCACTTTGGGGGAGGGGTGGGGTGTCACATAGGTAAGTGGAAAGCTAGGTTTGATTTTAATCTCTTGAAATTTGTAATGATTCTATTAAAATGATTCAAAGCTAAAATGATGATATCAAAGTAAAAATGATTTATTTTTACTTATTAGCTCTATGGATTTGGACTACTACAGATTAATATATAAGGAAATGAGTGTCAACTTCTATACTGCCAGCATGGCCAGTCATAAGTAAAAGGTTTTTATTGTTTAGGTACCATTTTACTCATAAGAAGAAATTATCACCTAGTTAAATTTGAGTTTGGCATAAATAACATTCACATCCACTATTAGAAAATTGAGGGCTGGCCATGGTGGCACACATCTTTCATCCCAGCACTCGGGAGGCAGAGGCAGGAGGATCTCTGTGAGTTCAAGGCCAGCCTGGTCCAGACCAGCTGGGGCCACAGGGAGATTCTATCTCAAAAAAAAAAAAAGAAAAGAAAATTGATCAGGTGTTTTTTCCTTTTTTTTTTTTTTTTTTTTTTTTTTTTTGAGATAGGGTGTCAGTATGTAGTTCTGCTTGGCCTGGAACTTGCCAAGTAGACTAGGATGGGTTTGAACTCAAAAGATCCACCTGCCTCTGCCTCCCAAGTATTGGGATTAAAAGTATGCACCACTGTGCCTGGCCTCTTCAGAAATCTTACTATTAGTAGTATGACATAAATCCTTTTAGAGTTAGCGTTATGTTCATAATCATGCCTGTTTATTACAAAAAAGTTTACTGGGCTGTATATAATGTTTTGTAACTTATTGGTTGTATGTGTTTGCACAAGTGTGGGTGCACTTGTGTCTGTATGTGAGGCTAGAGATCATTCTCTTTGGGAGCTGTCTACTTGTTAAAAAATATTTTATCTATTATTTTTTATTTTATGTGTATGTATTCCTTTCATGTGTGTAAGTGCACCAGTGTCCTTGGAGGTCAGAAGAGAGCATTGGATTTCCTTGGAACTAGAGCTACAGATGGTGGTTAATCACTATGGGGGTGTTGGGACTCAAACCTGGGTCCTCTCCAAGAGCAGCCAGTGCTCTTAACCACTGAGCCATCTCTCCAACCCCAAACTATCTACTTTTTATGTGTAACAAGATCTCACAGGCACTTAAGGCTTGCCAGTTAGGTTAGTCTGTCTGGTCAGTATGTCCCAGGGATCTGCCTGTCTCTGCCTCCCCAGTACAAGCATGCCACCACACCTAATCAAACTTTGGTTCTCATCTCTGGATGGCTTTATCAATGGAGCTGTCTCCCCAGCCTGTGGCTTACTGTTTTTAATTATTAGTGTATCTTAAATGTATTAGTATTTACAGATAAGTCTTATTTTAATCACTTGTAAGCATTTTGTTAAATGGATTAACTGACATTTTATTGCCTTAATACAAAGAAGCAAACTTACCTATATTGATTAAAAATTCCTAATAAAATATACCAGTAATATTTAAAAGTAGTAATAAAGGGATGCCTCCTAGGAATGGTAAGATAGTTTGATTTTAGACAATTCATCTTACAATTGAAAATGTTAAATATATTTGTGATAATCTCATTGCGTGAAAATGGATATTTTGTCAGCTTCCATTCCACATAGATCAAAAATTTAGCAAAATAGGAAAAGGTCAGTAATTAAACCCCAAAACTGCTGTTGTACTGTGTGTAATGTTAAAAAAAACCTAGAGGCAGGGGCTGGAGAGATGGCTCAGCGGTTAAGAGCACTGACTGCCCTTGCAGAGGACCCCGATTCGATTCCCAGCACCCCCATGGTGGCTATGAACCGTCCTTAACTCCAGTTCCAGGGGAATCCAAAGCCCTTTTCTGACCTCTGTGGCATTGTATGACACGGTGCACTCACATAAATGTAGGCAATATACTCATACACATAAAATAAAAACAAAAAAATAATAAATAAAATTACAAAAAACCCGCAATCCCCCCCCCAAAAAACCTAGATGCATCTCAGAGCTGTAAGGAACATTTGGGTATCTATTGTAACTGCACCAGCTGTCTCTCAAGAGTCCAGCTATTTTTAGTCTATTATAGCTTCTACATCTTCATCTTAAACTAGAAAGAAAGATGCTGGCTCCTGGACCATGAGATTGTTAAAAAAAGAAGGAAAAATAGGGAAGTGCTTACTATACAAAGATGAGCTGCCTTTTCTGTTGACATTTTTCTGTCTAAATGGGTTAAATTCTGTATACCTGCTCAGATTCCTAACTTTCAAGATCCCTTTTGAGATTCCTCTGTGTGTTATTTTATCTTTGACTCCTTTTTAGCCTTAACTTTATTACCTAGTCAGCAAATACTGAGAACATACTAGCTAGTATTGTGCTTGGATAGGGGAATTACAGAGGGGTATAGACATGGACCCCATACTTGTGGAGCATAGGATCTAATGGGAGAAGGAAATGTTTAGTCAAAAGAGCTGGTTATAAATGAAGATAATTTCTGTAAAGGTTATACATGGGGAGGTTTTTTTAAGGTTTATTGAAGGAAGCCTGATGTTTGTATAGCTATGCAAAACATCAAAAATTTGACACATTTGGTTTTATAGTAGTAAAAATATTGTAAACATTTTTTAGTTTATATCACAAATATGTGGCTCATTTTTCTCATATAGAGAACTCTTGTAGATAATAAAATTTTAGTGATGTGAAAATGAGTAAAGGTTAGGAGTAGACGGTGGTTCTAGAGCTACAAATAAGAAAAAGAGCCTTCCCTCCTATGCAAAATAAGAGAAATGTAGTTCACAACTGCTTTTCAATCTTTTTCACCTACCAGATTGTCAAAACTCAAGGAATTCATTTACAATGTGTGAATAAGGTTGAGTGGAACAAGTAACATTAGTATACATTAATTCACAATTTGGTAGGTTCTTCTGTTGAAGGTAACTTGTCAATATGACAAAAGATCAACAGGTATACTTTCCCTTTGACCCCAAAGATTCATTCTGAGGTGCTTCTTATAACATATTAATGATAAAAGGTTGAAAACAATTAAATGCCTATCCCTAGTGCACTGAGTAAATACGTATGATAGCTTTTAAATATTTTATTTTTATTTTATGTGTATGAGTGTATTGCCTGCATGTGTGTAAGTGCACCTGTGTTATGTGATACCCACTGAGGTCAGAAGACAGTGTTGGATACCCTGGCACTGGAGTTAAGGACAATTGTTAGCTGCCATATGGGTGCTGGAAATTGAACCTGGATCTTCTGCAAGAGCAGCCAGTGCTGTTATTTGCTCAGCCATCTCTCCAGCCCCTAATGATAGTTTTGTTTTTTTGTTTTTTTTTTTATTTTATTTACTATTTTTATTTTATGTGTATGCGTGTATTGCCCGCATGTAGGTAAGTGCACACGTGTTGTGCAGTGCCCACGGAGATCAGAAGAGGCTGTTGGATTCCCTGGGACTGGAATTACCGACAGTTGTTAGCTGCCATATGGGTGCTGGGATTCAAACCTGGGTCAAAAAAGTTTATTTTTATTTATGTTTATGGAGGTATGTTCACATGAGTGCAGGTGCCTGTGGAGGTCAGAGTCTTAGGATCTCAATAGCTAGAGTTACAGTTGTTATGAGCTGGTCAAAGTGGGTGCTGGGAACCAAACATGGATCCTCTGGCAGAACAGCATATGCTGCTCTTAACTGCCGAACCATCATCTCTCCAGTCTCTGGACTGTGTGTAGTAGTCACCATATTGTGTGACAGAATATGTTGCAGAGTTATAAAGTATGCCACCGATTTGTGGAAACATATTTTCTTAACCATATACTTGATTTGGGCTTAGAACATCCATGAAAGGACATTAAGAGATGAGTAACCCATGGTTTCCTTAATAGTGAAACTAGGGATTAGGTAAGAAGCAGTTGCAGTTGTTTTGTATATGTCTTTTCCTTTGGATTTATACTTTAGTAACGTGAAATAGTCTTTCAAAAATCTTGAGACTGTCAATCAACTAAACAATAATAATGATCTTCATGGGAATAAATTTATGTTAAAGCTTCTTTTTTATTTTGATCATCTTGTTTGGTTTCTTTTTTTGGGGGCGTCTTTTTGAGACAGGGTCTCCCTGTAGCCCCAGCTGGCCTGGAACTCAGAGAGATGCGCCTGTCTTTGCCTCCCAAGTGCTGGGATCAAAGGCGTGCATCACATGCCCAGCTTGTTTGGTTTCTTAAGATTGTTATGAGTGTCTCTTTTTCCTTGGAGACTTTGTTCTGTTTAAACTTATTTCTTCTTGTATTCCCTGTTTTATAGTTAGGAAAAATGAGGCTGACAATCCCATGCCGTGCTGTGACTTGTACACATCTACAGTGTTTTGATGCTGCCCTTTATCTTCAAATGAATGAGAAGAAGCCCACCTGGATTTGTCCTGTTTGTGACAAAAAAGCTGCCTATGAAAGTCTGATATTAGATGGGTAAGTGTTTGTCTAGGAAAGCAACTTTAAAAATATGAATAAAAACCCAGAAAACAAAAATAATAGGAAGTAATAAACGATAAATGGATTACTTAGCTGCTAAGTTTAAAATGAATTTTTGTTCAGGTTATTCTGACTCTGAAGGTGTAAATATTACTTCTTATATTGCTTATGTTAGAATTTGGAAAATTATATAAATTGATTTTTAATGAGTTTAGGGCTCCTCTTTTTTTGTTTTGTTTTTTGATACAGGTCTCCCTGTATCCCTGTAGCCCCAGCTGGCCTGGAACTCACTATGTAGACCAGACTGTCCTCCATCTCAGAGATCCCGCCTGGCTCTGGGATTAAAGATGTGTCCTGCCATAAACAGCTGGGGTCCTCTTTTTTTAGAAATGCCATTTTAATAAAAATTACATGCCATCTAAGTATCATTGTACAATTGAGAAAATTAATGACATACTTGGATTTCTGTCTAGTGTGTTTTAGAAGTTCTAGAAACTATATAAACATTCACTTGTTTTCATCAGATGTATTTGAGTTCACTTTTTCAGTTGAGTGATTTTTTTTTCTGTTACATTCCTTTAATTCATATAATAATACATGAATATGTGTGTTAGATACTGAATCTAAAGTGGTAAAGAGAGCACTTAATTTGAGAGAATGAAGAATTACATATTGAGTTATTAGGTGCTATGAAGGTGGTGAACAGCACTATGGGAATAAACTTGGAGACTGTAGAAATTTAAAGATAGGAAGTAGGAGATGATGCTAGGATGCTAGAGATGCCCTCACTCATCACACAGATTGTTCGTAGTTTCATTAGTCTTTTTAAAAAATCTCAAAATTATTGAATAAGCTCTTCCTTAGACTTAAGATGCTGACTGCATGATCATACATACTTTTTTTTTTTTTTCCTTTTTGAGACAGGGTCTCCCTATAGCTCCAGCTGTCCTGGAACTCACTATGTAGACCAGGCTGGCCTTGAACTCAAAGAGATAGCCTGCCTTTGCCTCCCGAGTGCTGGGATTAAAGGCGTGCACCACCACTCCCGGCTTTTTAAAAAAATATATTTATTTTATATGTATGAGTGTATTGTCTGCATGAATGTGAGTTCACCTGTGTCATGCAATACAGCAGAGGTCGGAAAAGGGCTTCGGATTCCCCTGGAACTAGAGTTAAGGACGGTTCATAGCCACCACGTGGGTGCTGTGAATCAAACTGGGCCCTCTGCAAGAGCAATCAGTGTTAACTGCTGAGCCATCTCTCCAGCCCACTTTTCAATTTTTTAAGATTGCTTTCTCCCCTCTCATGATTCCCTTTCTAGTTTCATGACCTACACATACCACACACACACACACACACACACACACACACACACACACACACACACACACACACAATTATGGGAGACATGGTGTTTGTCTTTCTCAGTCTGTCCTGTTTCACTTAATGGCTTCTGGCTTATCCATCATTTTTTCTTTTTTGGATACATGCCTATACTGTAGCCCAGACTGACCTCAGACTTGAAGCAGTTGTCCTGTCTTCAGCCTCATAACTGTTTTTTTGATGATAGGCATGAGCCATTGTGCCCAGCTCACTCTTACAGTCTTATATATGTAAGTGTTAATTTCTGAGTTGTTCTTTGTTCCCTTGATCCGGTTATTTGTGGACCAGTGTAATAGTTTAATTATTGGTGTTGTATTTCATGTTGGCATTTTATAATCCATTTCTTTTAGATTTCTCTATTTTTTTTTAAAAGATTTATTTTATTTTGGGAGCTGGAGAAGTTACCCAGTGGTTAGGAGCACTTGTTGTTCTTCCGGAGGACCTGAATTCAATTCCTAGTAACTATGTTGTGCAGCTCACAATCACCTGTAACTTCAGCTTCTGGGGTATCCATTGCCTTTGGCCTCTGGAAGCACCTGCATTCATATGCATGTGCCCTCCCCACATATGCACATAATTTTTAAAAAATCTAAATCACAGAATCTTTTTTTTTTTTTTTAATCTTTAATTATTTTTAAGGGGATATGAGAACATGGTGCTTACGTGGAGGTTAGAGGACAACTTATGAGAGCCATTTCTTTCTACCACATGGATCTCAGGGATCAAACTCACATTGTCAGGTTTGGTGGCAAGAGTCTTCACCTGATGAGCCATTTAGCCCTAATTTACCCTTTTGTTGTTGTTGTTGTTGTTTTGTTTAAGAGACAGGATCTCAATGAAGCTCTGACTGGCGTGGAATTCATAGAGATCCACCTGCCTCTCCTAGGATTAAAGGCATGTATACCACACCTGGCCTCTAATTTGATGCATTTTAATCCGTTAAGTTTACCACACCAATCTGGATAACCAACATATTTGTCATTTCCAGAGGGGATCTCCCCACCCTCTGCCCCCCTTCTTACTTTCTGGAGACAAGATCTCTTATACCAGGGGACTCAGTCTCACTATGTAGCCAAGTATGGCATTGAACTTTTGAACCTCCTGCCTCTACCTCCCAAGTGCTGGGATTATAAGTATGCTCCACCTGTTTAGAAGGTAAGCAAGTGCTCCACTAACTGAGCTATATTCCTAGCTTCCAGATGACTTTTAAAGGTTGTTTTTTTTTGTTTGTTTGTTTTTAAGTTAACACAAAAAATAATGGGTTGTATTATATTTTCATATTTGTCATTATTGTTATTAATTTTTGGTCTTTTTTGAGACAGGTTCACCCTGTTAGCCACAGTTAGTCTGGATTTGCTATGAAGTCCAGGCTGGCCTCGAACTCACGGCGATCTGCCTGCCTCTGCCTCCCAAGTGGTAGGACATGTTTGTCATTATAATTACATCTTGTCTGCTCCCCACTTAGTGCCCTACCCTGTTCCTCTCCCAAAATAGTTCCCCCTTCTGCTTTCTTGACATGCATGCATTATTGCCCTCTCTTGTTCCTGCCCTCTCTTTAGACCTCTGATCTCTTTCATAGAGTACTTTTCTACTTTCCTGCGTGCGTGCGTGTGTGTTTGTGTGTGTGTTAATTTAAAATCCACGTTCCACATGTGAGAGAAAAACATGTAGTACTGGTCTTTGTGAGTCTGTCATCATGACTTAATGTCGACTAATGTTTGTATTTACTTTGGTTAATTAGGAATGAAACACCTGGTCACATGCTAGATGTATGTTTAAGAAACTGCCACAGTTTCTAAAGTGGTGGTACTATTTTGTAACCCCATTAGCAATCTGAAAATCTTAATTGATCTGTTTTCTCACCAACATTTATTGCCGTTGGTTAGTTTTTGATTTTAGGTATAGTGGTATTTAGTGATAACACATTGTAAGCTTGATTTGTATTTCTTACTACTATTGAATATATTTTTGTATTCTCTATTTCTGTATTTAAAATGACTGTTGGCAACTCCCCCCCCCCTTTTTTTTAATTGGGTTGGTTTAACTGAAATTTGGTGGTTTTTTGTATATTTTTGCTGCTGTTTTGCCAGTTTATCTTTTTCACTTAACAGTTTCAGATAATAGGGGTTTTAAATTTGTATAAAGGCTAGTTTACCTTGTTACTGTTTTATGAATTCTTCTTTGGATCTAGTAAAATATTTTCATAACTGTAGGCTTTGGCAGTCTTTTGTTATGGTTTCTTTAGGTTTTTTTTATTTTATAATATTACTATTATTTTTATTTTATGTGTATGAGTGTGTGCCTGCACGTGTGTAAATGCACCCATGTCATGCAGCTTCCTCGGAGGTCAGAAGAAGGCATAGGATCTCTTGGAACTGGAGTTACAGGCAGTTGTCAGCTGTCCTGTGGCTACTGGGAATCGAATCTGGGTCCTGTACAAGAGCAGCCAGTGAGTGCTCTGAACTGCTGAGCCATCTCTTGCATACATATAAGATAAAAAAAAATAATAAATAAAATATATGTTAAAAAAAGATAAATTCTTTTTTAAAAATATTTTATTCATTATTTTTATTTTATGTGTATGAGTGTATTGCCTGCATATAGGTAAGCACACCCGTGTCATGCAATACTGGAGGAGGACAGAAGAGGCTGTCGGAGCCCCTGGAACTGGAGTTACAGACAGTTGTTAGCTGCCATATGGGTGCTGGGAACTGAACCTGGGTCTTCCGCAAGAGCAGTCAGTGTTTGTAACTTCTGAGCCATCTCTCCAGCCCCCAAGATAAATTCTTTAAAAATGGAAAATTTGTTTAAAAAAAAAAAAAAAAAAAAGTTTGTCCTTACCCCCAGTGACAATAAGCTCCTCTATCTCATTACTCTCTTTTTGGTTGTTGTTGTTTTGAGACAGGGTCTCCTTGTAGTCCCTGCTAGCCTGGAATTTGCTATGTAGTCCAGGCTGGTCTCTATCTCACTGAGATCCACCTGAGATTAAAGACATGTGCCACCATTCCCTACCCCTTCATCTTTCATGAGAAGAAAAAGAAAACAAGCCTAAGGAAAAAACAAAAATGCTGATACAGGCAAGACCAGAGCCAGGCCTAGCTGACCTACTAAATTCATGTTGGCTATTAAATAAAGGAGTAGATGTAAGGTGGAGAGCGGGCTAGGTGGAGATACAAGATAGAAAAACTTACTGACCCCGTTGTTGGATTCCACCTGGAGTTTCTCAGTGTTCTGACCCTAGCCATGGAAGCTTGTTTGAATGCTGACGTTTCTCTGCTAGGGGTACTGGGGAGAGGGATCTCTCCTTTGAGGTTGTCAGTGCTTCCCTATACTTCCCTATACTTCCCTTTGGCTGTGCTTCCAAGTGGAGTCACTTATGCTGGTCACACTTCTTCAAGTTCCTTTAAGGTTCCCATTTAGAATGCTGTCCTCACTTCCATTGTTTGAATTTTGATAGCTGTACAGATTTTGCATCAGAAGAATAAACTGCAGTGTGTCGTGAGTTGTTATCCTTTATTGAATTGTGTGTTGTGTGTATGGGTGTTTTGCCTACATATATGTAAGTACACCCATGCATGCAGTGCTTGTGGATACCAGAAGAAGGTGTTGAATCTCTTGGAACTGGAGTTCAGCAGGTGGTTGTGAGCTACCACGTGGGTGCTGGACTGAACCTAGGTCCTGTGCAAAGCAACATGTACTCAAGTGCTGAGCCATTTCTCCAGCCCCTATTGGATTATTTTTGCCAAGTTCATTAGAGAATGTTGGTATGTAGTTCTCTTTTGTCTTTGACTTTAGTATCAGTAATGATGCTGGCCTCATACAAAGTGTAAAGTGATGAATCTGTTCTCTTTAATAGATATATAGGACTTAACAGGCTTGTCTTTTTTGAATGAGCCTAAATAAATCTGTGTAGAAGATTAACACTTTTACTTTCTGTCTTAGTTTCTTTTTCTGTAGCTGTGATAAAATACCTTGACAAAAGCAGCTTAAGGGAGAAGGCATTTATGTTGGTTCTCAGTTCCAAGTTATAGTCTATTATGGGAGGGGAAAGCCTGACAGTTGGGAGCTTAAAACAGTGGATCACAGTATGTCCATACTCAGGAGAGAGGAATGAACACATGCGTGGTTGTGCTTAGCTTACTTTCTCTACTTTTACATAGCAGGATCCCCTGCCCTGGGAATGGTGCCACTCACAATAATTGGATCTTTTCACCTCGTTGTAGTCAAGCTTGTTACAGGGACAAAAACAATACTGGCCATGAACTGACCATTACTGCAGTTGAATGATGGGTACATGGCAAGATATTTGCCCACATACATGCTTTAATGGCCCATCTCCCAGATAATTACTTCTGTCAAGTTGACAGTACTATCTGTTCAAAGAGTCAGCCTTCTAATTTCATTATGTTTTCAGGTATTTTTTGTTTGTTTCATTTATTTCTACTGTCTATTTTTCATCCTCCCATAGTTTTCCTTCTTACCCTCCACTTTAATTTACTCTTTCCTGAATTTCTTGAAGTTAGGTTTTCAGACCTTTCAAGTAGGTGCTATAAATACGTTGTAAAGTACTATTTTACTTTTAGTCCAAAAATATTTTTTTATTGTGTTCACAATACTGGATTTTTGCATTATTTTCATTTCTCGTCTGTTTTATTTCATTTCCACATTCGAGGATTTTTCTCTATTTTTCTGATACTCTAAATTTAACTTATTTAGTCATAGAATGTAATTTGTATGCTTTGAGTTTTGAGTTTGCTTAAATTTGTCTCTGTTCCTTCCCTCAAAACTTAGGCATTAATTTATTATAATAACTACTGTATATTTATGCTTTTTTGTTGTTGTTGTCTTTTTGAGACAGGGGTCTCCCTATAGCCCCAGCTGGTCTGGAACTCACTATGTAGACCGTGCTGGTCTAGAACTCACAGAGATCTGCCTGCCTCTGCCTCTCAAATGTTGGAACTAAAGGCGTGCACCACCACACTCAGCTTTTACACTTGTTTTATATACTGTAACTGTCAGTCCTAATGAGAGGAGTCTTTGTTTCTGTTTTAGTCACCAATAGTATAGATGGTACTCACTGTGTTCCTTAGCCTGGTATAGACCTGAAACCAGGTTGTGAGATTTTTAGCTTTGTGTTAGAGCATTTGACTAGCAAATATGAGGCCTGGAATTCTATCCCCACCAACAACGTGAAAACACAAATACACACACATATGTGTGTACATATACACACACACACAAAAATCCTAGGAGAAAGGGCATATTGGTTGTTATAAAATAATTGAAATGCAAGGAAAAAAAGGTTTTAAAGCCAGACACCATGACTTTGTTCTCAGTATATACTACCTTCTTATTTCATTGTTGACATTTATGACAAGCATGTATTTTAATTGATTTACAGGCTTTTCATGGAAATTCTCAATGACTGTTCTGATGTTGATGAGATCAAATTCCAAGAAGATGGTACTTGGTGCCCAATGCGACCTAAGAAGGACACTATGAAAGTATCCAGCCAACCCTGCACAAAAATAGAAAGTATGTGCTGAATTACAGGCGAGCAAAGTAATGTGAATTATGAAACATTAGCGTTAACCACTAGAACTATTTTTAGAATTTAGTTTGCTAACTATCTTTGGACCATCAGTCACGTGTAATTTCCCCTTAAATCATTTTTATTCTTTCTTTAAAATGTGCTAGCATTTATAGTAACTTACTAGCATTTTTATGATATTTAATATACAAAATAAGTGAAAGTCAACAAAAATAACTTTAAATGTTTGGTATAAAATGAAAAGTTAAGCCAGGCATGGTGATGTGCATCTTTAATCCCAGTATTAGAGGGGCAGAGGCAGGCAGATCTTTGTGAGATTTGTTCTACATGGTAAGTTCCAGGCCAGCTGGACCTACAGGGAGATCCTGTCTCACAAAACTAATATAAATAAATAAATAAATGAAATGAAATGAAGAGTTAGGGAATTGGGAAGGTGGGTAGAGTTTGCCTTGTAGGTATGAGGATTGGAGTTCACTCATATAAAAGCTGGGTGGATGGGATGGTCCTTCAGGAATCCAGTGCTTAGAAGGCAGAGATGGGAGTCCCTGCGGCAAGCTGGGCAACTAGACTAATTTGGTGAGCTATGGGTTCAGGAAGAGACCTTGTCTCAGTAAATAAAGTGAAAAGCAGTTGAAGAACATGAAGTCTACCTCTGGGTTTTACACACATGCGCACATGTTGCCCACCCATATGCAACCACACATACATATGTACACACATTGCACATACATACTCAAAAAAAAACCTTAGAAATTGATGTTCATATCTTAACAAAACCAGGTGTCTGGAGAAATTTTATCATCCATTAATTAATCATAGCTTTAGTTCCCTAGCATATTTTTCAATTCCTTGCACTCATTCACACTAACTCGACAAATTAAAGGTATTTTGAGCAATTGAAATTCATGGGTACCCTTAGTCTTTTTGGATTTACTGAATTTGACTTTTCTTCTAGCTCTATTTGAAATTTTAAAAAGCAATCAATTTTGGATTAAGAATGGAAGAAAATTAAGACTTTTTACCAATGTTACTCTTTTAAGATTGCTACAATGGGTGTGTCTGGTTCTGACTTAACTGTGGCACATGTTGTAAGAATATGCATCTGGGGGCTAGAGAGATAGTGCAGCAGTTAAGAACACTGCTCTTGCAGAAGACCTGGGTTCTGATCCCCGCACCCACATGGCAGCTAACAACTGTCCATAACTCCAGGCCCAGGGGATCCAACAGCCTCTTCTGACCTCCACGGGCATTGCAAGACACAGGTGCCCTTACCTACATGCAGGCATAACACTCATACACATAAAATAATAATAAAATATTTTAAAAAATATGCATCTGGTGAAACTTCATGCTCTTGACGCCATAGCTTGAGATGATGCTAGTGCACAACTGATCAAACCATATATTCTTGCCCCATAGCCTGAGGCCAGTTCTCTAACCCTAGAGATCTATCTGTACAATGATTGCTAATCTAAAGGACAGCTTTAGCAGCAGCAGGATCATACAAATCCATGGTAGTACTGGAGAGAATTATGTATGCTGTCTGAAGGAGGCTTTTGACCTTTCTTAACAATACTGGCTTCCCAGCTAAGTGTTTAACAGACAAGTTAGGGTACGGTCTCTATCCCTACTAGCGTAAGTGACTTCCGTGGTTGTGTATTGTCATGGATACATATAGGACGTCTGTAACTAGAGTTTATTTGCTATACCTTTGTTATTTGGTTGTTTTTGTTGTTGTCATTGGGGGAGGGCAAGGTCTCCCCTGTATCCCCAGCTGGCCTGGAACTTGCTATGTGGACCAGGCTGGCATCAATCTCACAAAGATCCACCTGCCTCTCTGATTAAAACCAAATGCTACCATGCCCTGCCTGTTTGTTATACCTTTGATATTTCTCTTTTTCCTGTTTTTCTACATCCAGGCTCAAGTGTCTTCAGTAAACCTTGTTCAGTGACTGTAGCTAATGAAGCAAGCAAGAAGAAAGTAGATGTTATTGATCTAACACTAGAAAGCTCTTCTGATGAAGAGGAAGACCCTCCTGCCAAAAGGAAATGCATCTTTATGTCAGAAACACAAAGCAGTCCAACCAAAGGGTTTGTTAATTTATAGTTCACTAATTGTTCTTGGAATGGATTTGTAAATTTCTCTATCAGACGTGACATAATGTAGAAGAAAATTTTAATTTGCTTTGACTTAGTTGAAATATTTTCAAGTAAGCACATTATTATAGGAAAGCAAATTTAAAAAAATATTATGTATATGAGTATATGTATGTAAGTGCACCTGTGTCATGCAATGCCCACGGAGGTCAGAAGAGGGTGTCGGATTCCCCTGAGACTGAAGTTAAGGACAGTACTAGCTGTCATGTGGGTGCTGGGAATTAAACCCTGCTCCTTTGTAAGAGTAGCCAGTGCTCTTAAATGCAGAACCATCTCTCCAGCTCCGGGATGGCAAAAAAAAATTTTTTTTTTTTCCTGGTCCTTTTGAGACAGGGTCTCCCTGTAGCCCCAGCTGGCCTGGAACTCACTATGTAGACCCTGCTGACATTGAACTCACAGAGATTCGCCTGCCTCTGCCTCCCGAGAGTGTTGGGACTAAAGGCGTGCACCACCATGCCCCGTAGGAAAGCAAATTTTGATGAAGAAAATATTCATCTCTGGGAAGTAGGAGTTTGAGTTGTTTATTTCATATTTGGTACTTTTTGTTCTTGTTTTAAATATATTTTTGTTGAATTTTTGTGGATTTCATACATTTTAATCATATTTAGCTCCCTTCCCTGTGTGCGGAGCCCCCACATAACCCACAGGACTTCATGTATTTTGTCATATATATTAAGACCTATCAAGTCAAGTCTCTGTACCCAAGATGTCCCTCAGTGTAAGTTCATCCACTGAATCCTGTTCAACCTGTCTAGTGTCACTCAGAGATGATGAGCTCTCTCTTACCCAGCAGTGATCAGCTGCTAATAGTTGCTTGTTAGAGTTATGACCTCCTGCCCATTTCCTCATTTCTGTACTGGCTTTTGTCTGACTGGGTTTACATGGATCTTGTACATGCTGTCACCATTGCTGTAAGTTCATATGAGCAAGGTCCCAGGACCTTGTAAGACTCTTTCCTTATGGTCATGCACCTTCTCCCCTGGCTCTTATGGTCCTTCTGCCCCTTCTTCTGCAGTGATCCCTGAGACCCGAGTTGATAACATTTAATATTCTTGAACCTGTTTGTAAGTAAATTTGGCATCTCGGTCAAATATGAGGAAGTCTGGTATAAAATGAAATGTGGTTGCAGAAATCTTAGAATGGCCTTGTTACATGATCCTGATAGAAGTCCTTAACTTACTTTGACTCATTTCTGTTCTTTGAGGTAAAATAATGCCTGCCTTATAGGATTACTGTGAGGTTTCTGTGAGATTATAAAAGAACTTAGCCATCATGTCAGCATCATGTCAGCTACTAAATAAAAATTTATCATCTTCGATTTCCACTCTCCAGACCAAAATATGGGCAAGCAGGTGGATTCCATATGGTGTAAGCCATTGAGACCTTTAAGAAAAAGAGAAATTAAGTATATGCCATAGAGTCAATAGAGTATTTCCATTATCCTCCCTTCTCCCCAATCTCCAATCCTCATAGTCACTTAAATTTGTTGCCATACACCCCCTAGATCTAGACAACCACTGATCTGCTAAATTTCTGAATTTGCCTGTTCTGAACATTTTATATGAATAGAATTAATGCTACCAGTATACTTCAAATACTTTTTGATAATTTTTATAGCATTACAGCTACTTTGAAATAACTTTTAATAGTTATTTTTAAGACTTAAAACTTTTGACCTGCTTCCTCCACTACTAAAATACTTATATCCTAAGATGAATGTGGTGGCTAATTTCCTTAATCCCAGCACTCTAGAGGCTGAGGCCGGTGGATCACCATGAATCTGAGACCAGCCTAGGCTCCTGACTGAAAAAAAAGGAAAAAACATACTTATATTTGTGATTTATCCATCATAGTAAAGGCATACGTTTTCTTTTACTTATTTAGAGTAAGTTTTTATTTCAATGAAAAAAGGATGAAAATTATTATTATTATTATTTTTCTTTGAGACAGGGTCTCCGTGTAGCCCCAGCTGTCTGCGCTGAATCTCATAGGAGGTCCACCTGCCTTTGATTCTCCATTGCTGGAGTGCCACCATACTGGGCTTCCATTAACATAACCCTTAATAATCAAATCAGATTTGCACAGTAATGTACAAGCAAAAAAAAAAGAAAAAAAAGTACACAAAGAAATATTAATGAGAATTCTGAGCTCAGTCTTAGGAAGTTATATAATTAAGACAATATCCACTATGACTAAATAGATTTTATTCTAGGAGTCCTTTAATGTTAGAAAATATATTGGGGCCTGGAGAAATGGCTCATTGATTAAGAGAACTGATTGCTCTTGCCAAGGACCTGGGTTCGATTCCCACTGCCCACGTGGTGGCTAACAACTGTCAGTAACTCTAGTTCCAGGGGATTCAGCTCAGCTGTTTTGGCCTTTATGGGCATTGCACAACATGGGTGCACTTGCATTCATTAACTTTTTAAATTTTTATTTTATGTGTATGCATGTATTGCCTGCATGTAGGTAAGTGCACCTGTGTTGTGCAATGCCCGCGGAGGTCAGAATAGGCGGTCGGATCACCTGGGACTGAAGTTATAGACAGTTGTTAGCTGCTATGTGGGTGCTGGGATTTGAACCCGGATCTTCTGCAAGAACAACCAGTGTTCTTAACCTTTGAGCCATCTCTCCAGCCCCAATAAAATATTTTTTTTAAAAAGAATATATTGATAAAGTTGTTTGTCACAAGGACAACTATTGAGTCATCTTAATAGGTGCTTGAAAGATATTCAGTAAATGTTGTTTCTGATAGAAACCCTTTTAAGTTTCTGAATTCATTTGATGAAGAGTTCATTGCTTAAATTAATTGTTCTTAGATTGCATCAGTAAAAGAAGCATAGTGTATTAGTTTGTTCTTCATTGCTGTGACAAAACACTCTGACCAGTACCAACTTGGGGAGGAAAGGCTTTATTTGTCTTACATCTCCCAGGTCGCACGCAGTTCATCAGGGAGCCCAAGGTAGGAACTCAGGGCAGGAACTTGGAGGCAGGAGCTGGAGCACAGGTCATGAAGGAATGCTGCTTACAGGCTTGCTCCCTCGGCTCTTGCTCAGCCTGCTTTCTTATGCAACACAGGCCCACCTGCCCAGGGGTGGCACCACCCACAGTGGGCTGGGCCCTCCCATATCACTCATCAAGAAGATGCCCTTCAGACATGGCCACAGGCCAGTCCAATAGAGGCAATTCCCTGATTGAGGCTCCCTCAACCCAGGTGTGTCAAGTTGACACTAAAGCTATCCAGCACACATAGTGTTCCCGATGCCCTACTATACAGTTTTGTTCCATTTGGGGTTATGTGACTGTACTTGGCTGATCATTGAGAAATGCTAATGAATGCAACCTAGAGGAGGAAGTAGGACAGTAAGTAGTGGAACCTAGAGTGTAATGGATGAATAGGTGTTAAGTCAAGAGAAGAGACTCATGCCACGATTAAAGACTGAGCCCTACTTTAGCATTCTCTTTTACTACTTTTAATTATTTTTATTTTGTGTGTATGAGTGTTATGCCTGCATGTGTGTTAAGTACACCACTGTGCTGTGCTATGCCTGTAGAAGCCAGAAGAGGGTGTTGCATTCTCTGGAGCTGTAGTTACAGTTGGTACTTAGCTGCCATGTGGGTGCTGAGAATCAAACCTGGTCCTCTGCAAGAGCTGCCAGTGCTCTTAACTTCTGAGCCATCTCTCCAGGTGCTGCCCCACCCCTTTGTAATATTTAAGAGAGCTGCATTTTTGCTTTATTTAGAACATTCAGCAGATTTAGGACTGATAAAGGAAACATACATGGAAAAACTTTCTGAACACTTATAGTTGTGATGTTTTGTGTTAAGTTAGAGTAGATGCCATCAGAGTACATAGTGTAGCCTCATGCAGTGGTTGCTATTTCAGGTTCTTTCCTGCCCTTAGGATTTTAGGGTTTGTTTCTTGGTCATTCTTTTTATAACTACTTGTGTTTCTTTGGGAGTTTTAGGTTTTCATCTCTGGAAATTTACTGTAGGATAATAAGTAAATGAAGACAAAGAATGATAATCGGGAAAATTTATATTAACTTAAAGCCAAGAATGATGGCAATCTTTTTGTGGGGAGGGGCATTGGTTTGAGACAGGGTCTCCTTGTAGATCTAGCTGGACTGGAGCTCGCTTTGTAAACCCAGCTGACCTCAGTGTCACAGAGATCGATCAGCTTCTGCCTCTCATGTGATAACAGTAAAGATGTGCCAGCCATTTAGTAGCTATAGGACCTGAATAGATTACACATGAGTACCAAAAGCACAGGCAACTCTGTTTTTATACTGATTAGAGCTACAGTTGAATGTTTACAGAACAGTGGATAATAATGAAGTGGCTGGAATATAGCAGTTAAGCAAAATATAATGACCAGGATAAAAGTACCACCATAATATGCCTTGAGAGAGAAAGTTGTCTCTTGAGAAACGAGGGGACTACTGGTATTTGGGAGATAACTCCTCAGCAGGTGTTGCTGCATAAATTTTCTCATAAAATAAGGCTGTCCAGGTTTTGTCCAAGGTTTGGCTAAATTTACCAAACATTTTTTTAAAGGCATAGGAACACTATTTCACAGACTCTTCAAAGAGGTATATTGTCAGCTGGGCGTGGTGGTATATGCCTTTAATGCCAGCCAGGAAGATCCTGTCTCCAAGCAAGCAACAATAAAAGGAGGTATATTGTGGTAAAAATTATAAACGCTTTTACAAATAACCAAGAAGCAAGTGAAATGCTTCTTATCTGGAGAGAACTACTGTCACCAATTGATAGAAGCTAGGGGAGTTTTAAATGCAGCTTTATAGCTCCTGTCTGAAGAAACTTAATCATGTAAAATGTTGGGAAAACTTTGTTTCTGCCCCAGTCCTTGAAAAATTGAATGGTTGTTTTGTTGTTGATGAGGCACTCCAAAGACAGAAAACGGAGAATAAGGATATTAAATACCTATGTTTCTTGATTAGGAACCATTAAGAGTTGGTGCTAAATCTAAATCTCTTTTATACTGGTATGATCATATGAACCTCAAGTATATGAATAAAATTGCCAACTCATTTTCAGACATCTGTGTGGACAGGTCTGATTTACATGGAATTCTCTGATGTGATACATGATCTAAAATACTGATGTTTACTGTTTAGCAGTATCCTGGCAATTACTCTTATGCTTTAGTATCATAAAGCTGTGGAAATTTAAAGTACATATATGTACATTGGCTTGTTTTGTAAATGTGCCTCATTTACGTATTTATGAATCCTGTTAGGAACCAGTAAGAAAAATTTCAAACTTAAGAATTACAATTTTACATCATTAACTTCAATAAATAGCCATTTGCATTTTTCTGTGTAGTGTGTCTAATTCATACCTATGAATACATTTCTCATTTTTTGAAACAAGGTCTCATGCTCTTTTCAAACTTGATATATTGTTAGCCAGGGATGACTTTTTATTCCCAATCCTCCTGCTTCCAACTTCCAAGTGCTAGGATTACAGGCCTGTAACTACCCTGCCTAACTATAAAGTCAAATTTGCACTAATGCTTAAAAATTTTGGGTAAGTCAAGTGTGGTGGCGCACACCTTTAATCCCAGCACTTGGGAGGCAGAGGCAGGTGTATCTCTGTGAGTTCGAGGCCAGCCTGGTCTGCATAGTGAGTTCCAGGCCAGCTAGGGCTACAAGGAGACCCTGTTTTTTTAAAAAACACCAAAAAAAGCCGGGCATGGTGGCTCACACCTTTCATCCCAGCACTTGGGAGGCAGAGGCCAGCGGATCTCTGTGAGTTCAAGGCCAGCCTGGTCTACATAGTGAGTTCCAGGACAGCTGGAGCTACGGGGAGACCCTGTTTCAAAAAGACCAAAAAAAAAAGGGCCTGGAGAGATGGCTCAGCGGTTAAGAATACTGGCTATTCTTGCAGAAGTCCTGGGTTCAAATCCCAGCACCCACATAGCAGCTAACAAACTGTCCATAACTCCAGTTCCAGGGGATCCAATGGCCTCTTCTGTCCTACATGGGCATTGCACGACATGGATGCTCTTATCTACATGCAGGCAAACACTCATACCCCACATTAAAAAAAGAACAAAAACAAAACAAAACTGGGTAATAGGAGTTAGTCAGCAGTAAATATTTTAGTTCTAATTGACCTTAATGGGATTTTAAATGTTTAGTACTTTGGGTTTTCATTAGATTTTTATTTATTTTGACAGTCAACATTTTTGGGGTGGGAGAAACAAAGAATAGATAATTCATAATTAGGTGTTACTAGGGGACATTGTATAAGAACATTGACTTGATTTCTTTGTAGATGTAGGTCAAGGAAAGAAAGGGCATTTGGTGGAGGTTTTCCTATAAGTCTTAAGTGGAAGGGTCTATTCAGTATCGAGACAAAAGACAATCTCCATTGAATTGTTTTAAGAAGAGAAGGAAAAGCTGTAGGATTGCAAGCATCATTTTTTTCTTGTCAAGCTGTAATTTTAGTGGAAGACAAAGTTGTTGGTGATTGAACCCAGGGCTTCCCATATGCTTAGCATGCAATATTGCATTGAGGTACAGTCCTAACCCCTTGAAATTCCTTTAGTTTTTATTAATAACAGAGAAAAGGTAGATTTAAGTAGGAAAGTTTTTAAATTTTGTGTATTTATGTATGTGGGGTATGTGCAGGTGTGTACAGGTGCCTGTGGAGGCCAGAAGAGGGTGTCAGATCTTCTGGATCTGGAGTTATAGGTGATTGTGAGCTGCCCTATGTGGGTGCGGGATTCGAACTCTGTTCCTCTCAAAGCAGTATGAGCTATTAACTGCTGTTCTAGTTTGCTTCTCTGTTGTAATAAAACACTCACCAAAAGCAAGTTGGGGAGGATAGGATTTATTTTATCTTAAACTTCCAGATTACAGTTGATCATTTAGGAAAGTGAAGGAAGGAATTGAAGCAGAGATCATAGAGTAACGCTGTTTACTGGCTTCCTCACCCTGGCTTGCTTAGCCAGCCTTATGCAGCATTAGCCCATCTGCCTAGGGATGGTACCATCCACAGTGGACTGGACCCTCCCACATCAATCATTAATCAAAACAGTTTCCTCCAGACATACCCACAGACGAATCTGATGGAGGAATTTCCTCAGTTGGATTTTTTGTGTGTGTGTGTGTGTTTTTGAGACAGGATCTCCCTGTAGCCCTAGCTGTCCTGAAACTCACTATGTAGGCCAGGCTGGCCTTGAACTCACAGAGATCTGCCTGCTTCTGCTGGCCTCTGCTGAGATTAAAGGCCACCATGCCCGGCTCAATTGGAATTTTTAAAATGAGTATACTTTTTTGATATTCTAAAGCTTTACTTTTACATTTAAAACATATGGTTAAGATAGCAATGTTTTGAGGCAGTGAGAATAATTTTTAAGCTCAGCATGAAGACATACCCAGTATTTTCCTTTCCCTTACTTACTTTGCTGCTCCCTCCTATTTCTGATGAGCACTCCTGTGATAGGGCCCAGGCACACATAACATTGAAAGAGCTTAGTGATTTCCTGTTCTTTTGTCTTTGCTCTTGTTTGATCATCAGTGTTTGCAGAGCTTCAGAAAATGATGGGCTTTAGATACATTTTCTCTCAGTTCACATTCTGTTTGTCTTTTCTAATGTCACTTTCAGCCTGCTGTTGTTTTAGGTCTTTAGGTACTGTTAAAGGCACAAGTGCTCCAGTTTCTTGCCTAGGCAGGTTGTTCTTTGGCAGATGACTTCCCTTTAGTTTTATCTATCTCTGGGAAATGTGTTTTGAAATACCAGGTTTATGTTGTTGTCCCAAGCATATTGTATTTCCTGGGCCTCTTACCTTGATCAGTTTTTAATCTATTATGCCTAAACTCTGACCATTGTAGCTTACTTTTTTTGACATTAACAGTTACAACTGGAATCGTAATATGTATACTCAAAACAACTTTGTTTTCTGCATTTCAGTGTCTTATTTTTGGCAAGTAGTATGTAGTAGCAGCTACACCATGACCAGTGTCTTTATAACACAAACCAGTTTTAGAAGAACCCTTTCTGATTACTTAAGAGTTTGACATTTAAATCAAGCTAATAAAATGGTTTATCAGCTGCTTATACTGTGAAGGATATTATGCAGATATGATAGACAAAGTACTTCAACCTTGGAAATGGATGTCTAGATGCCTTGAATTATCATTCCAGTCTAACTTTACCATGGTCTTTAAATTTCTAAGGAAGTTGCCCTTCCCTGCCCTTCCTTCTCCTTCTCCTTCCGCTTCCTTCCCCTTTAATATTTTACTACTCTTTTATATCCTACTGCTTGTTAAGGTGTCCATCTCTGTCTAAAGAGTCAGTAATGTTGCTTATTTTCTTATGTAAGTTCAGGAAATTTTTCTTATAAAGTATTGATTGTTTCCCCTAAGGTAAAAGAAAATGGAAGTTAAATAGGAAGAGTTAAATCTTCCTTTAAGCCTAGACTTCTTCAAACATGTTTCATTTTTAATTATATTGCTTCTTGAAATTATAAAGTCTTAGTTATACATTATGCATATGTTTATATAATACTAAATTACTATAAAGTATTTATTGTGTGCTTAATTTGTATTTGTAGTGGCATGAACAGCTAATTTCAAAGCCATAGACTCAAAGGAATAGTATTACAGTAGTCAGCATTTTTATTTTTGGATATCATAAGTATCTTAAATCCTGATGACTGTTTATCTTGTGATTTCTGACTATACTGTTCCTCCACTAGGCTGACTAGCTTTAGGACTGGCAAATTTTGCTCAGATCATTCTCAAATAAGATTTCAAATAATATAAATGAAGTTAGGGTTGAATGGGAGTGATGACATGTCTTTAAAATCTAGCACTGTGAGTTCCAGCAAATTCTGGGCTAGCAAAGGCAATACAATGAGACTTTTTGTCAAAAAACAAAACAAAAAGCTGAAGTTAGAATTGAAGCAATTCTGATTGAGCTAGTGTTAGCTTCACTCTTAAAGGTGTTCTAATTATAATCAAATTTTAATAGCCCTGTATTTTAGTCTTAAATTACTGTGTAGAGAAATTGCAGCTACCCACATACAGTGCTTAGTTAGCACAAATGTAAAGTATATTTCCGTTTGTAGATGAAAGCATTCTATACTTCATATTTTAATGCCAGCTTATGCCTGTACCAGTCAGCTGGGGTAGAGAGCCAGGATAACATTGACTGTAGAGCAAAGACTGTTGGAAAGAAAAGAGCAGTATAGGGGTATTGTGTAGTGAGTAGCTGCCACTAGCTGTGCTGAGACTTAGTCGACATACATCTCAGAATGTCTAGTGGTTCAGCTCTTCTCTCCTGTGAACTAATAGCGAGAATGTTTTAAATTTCCCATTCTGTTTAAAACAGGGTTCTCATGTATCAGCCATCCTCTGTAAGGGTACCCAGTGTGACTTCGGTTGACTCCGCTGCTATTCCACCTTCATTAACAGACTACTCAGTACCATTCCACCACACACCAGTATCAAGCATGTCATCAGATTTGCCAGGTATGTGGAGAGTTTTTGTTTCTCATTGCATTCTTCATTTAAAAGAATTATTAGTGGAGCATGGTGGTGCACGCCTTTAATCCTAGCACTCAGGAGGCAGAGGCAGGTGGATCTCTGTGAGTTCAAGGCCAGCCTGGTCTACATAGTGAGTTCCAGGACAGCTGGGCTACAGAGGCTAGAGGAAAACCCTGTCTCAAAAAGACCAAAAAAAGAAGAAAAAGAATTATTAATCAGTAGAACCTAATAATTTTGGGGGAAGTCTTTTTGAGACAGGGTCTCCCTGTAGCCTCAGCTGCCCTGGAACTCACTATGTAGACCAGGCTGGCCTTGAACTCTCAGAGATCCGTCTGCCTCTGCCTCCTGAGTGCTGGGACTAAAGGTGTGCACCACCACACCCAGCATAATTTTGAAATTTTAAATCTAAGTGTTGAAAGAACTTTGAAGGCTTCATGTAAAAGTATTACTTTTGTGGGGCTGGAGAGATGGCTCAGTGGTTAAGAGCACTCTGACTGTTCTTGCAGAAGACCCAGGTTCAAATCCTGGCACTAACATGGTAGCTAACAACTGCCTATAACTCCAGTTCCAGGGGATCCATCAAAGATACCTTTTAAGTAATAAAAGACATATGTAACACTAACATGTTTGTTCCATGTATAATTTGGGAGTTAGTAATTTTTTTAAGGTTCTTTGTGAAGCCTACCACCACTTACAATGTATTCATCATATCCAGAGATTGACTCATAAGGGATAGAACAGGGGTTCATGGTCTCATGGCAAAGTAGAACTCAATTTTTTATTTTTTTTTATTTTTTTTTTTTGAGACAGGGTCTTCCTGTAGCCCCAGAACTCACTATGGAGACCAGGCTGGCCTCAAAGTCACAGAGATCTGCCTGCCTCTGCCTCCTAAGTGTTGGGATTAAAGGCATGTTCCTCTGCACCTGGCCTGAAACTGAAATTGTTTTAACGGTTATATGTTGTTTTAACATTGGCTAATTTGATGGGCGTACATTTATCATCTTAGTATGTGCTAGAAATAAGTACTTCAAAAGAATTTGCTTCTTTTAAGATCATCAATTAAAAGCATTGACAAAAAGATAGTGAATGTTTCTGTTTATTAAAGTAATCCTGGCCATTTAGCATTAATATAGGGAGAAAATATACAAATCACTGGTTCTGATAGTTTTCAAATTATCAGAATATGAATGCCTTTTTAAAAAATTTGGGCCAGGCATGGTGATGCACGCCTTTAATCCCAGCACTTGGGAGGCAGAGGCAGGTGGATCTTCTGTGAGTTTGAGGCCACCCTGGTCTACATAGTGAGTTCTAGGTCATCTGGGGCTACAGGGAGACTCTGTCTCAAAAAAGACCAAAAAAAAAATTGGGAGCATTCATATTCAGATTTTGAACATAAAGTGTGATTTTATGTCTTAATTTTTCCTGAATTGTGTATTTGGTAAAAATGTATTTGATCTTTAGAAATAATATTAATATCCAGGGCTAATATTTGGCAAGATAAAACAATAATCTGGTTGTTAAATGTTGAAAAACTTCCTTAGCAGTTGATAAACTTAAATAGAAGAGGGCCAGTTATTCTTAGGAAAAATCGCTAGTTTTTAACAGTTATGTAGTTAACTTACTACATAAGAGTTACTATATCTAAAATGTTTAGTTTTTTACTTTTATTGTCAATGTACTCTTTTGTAAGTAGTGATTTGGATTTTGTGAATAATTTTTATGTAATCATAATGTAAAGATTTGATATTGATAAATTCAATAATTTTATAGTAAAATATTAAGTAGACTACAGACAGTGGAGAGAAGACAAAGTTTTCATAGATTTCTTAACATTCCTTTTAAACATCATAAATATGAATCTTCTGAATCTGCAGGAGAACAAAGAAGAAATGATATTAATAATGAAGTGCAGCTTGGAACATCTTCTGATACTGTGCAACAATGAATACAAAATAAAACACATAATTTGTATTTATGGAATGGAAAACAGCTTGATTATTTCAAGAAAAAAATATGACTGCCTTATTATTGCTAGTGGCATATTGTCAGGTGCGAATGGTGCTCAAAAGTTGTATCATTAAAATTTGGAAGTGCTAAACCTTTACATACTTATTCATGTAGCATTTATGTTTTGTGAAAGTTTATGGCTTAAGTAAGGAAAAAAAAAATGTATGGTTGTCAATGAGGGAATGAAAAACAAGTGATCAGTTCCATTATACTTAATGAAGTTTACAACTCAAAAATTACAACTTTTTTAGTGTTTATTAAAAACACTTAAATTGTACTATCGGGATTTTTAACAGTACTTGCTTTTTGGTTAATAATAAAGCATTTTCAACATGAGGGCAGAAAATCTCACAGTATCTAGTTACAAATGAAACATGGTAAAATAAGGAAATAGCATTTTGCTAAATTTATAAAAACAAGGCAATAAAATTTTAATTGCTATTGATGAGACTTTCAGATACAAAATAAACTTAGAAGGTAAAAATTTTAAAAATCAATGATAGCTTATACTTTTCTATTAGAAGGAATAACATCCAAAATACAATTTCAAACTTCATTGAAATGTTTTCATTGGGAAATATTCACATTAAAATCTCTTTCGATTTTGTATAGACAGCACCTGTGTGATGCTTGGAAGACAATCTAAAATTTCAACCAAAACTTTAGAGTAAGCATTTTTATATTTTATTAAGGCACTATATAAATTGCAATATTCTGATTATCTGTGGGTGAGATATAAAAACAGAGAGGTACATCTAAAAGCTCTTTGAAGTAGACTTTACATTTTTTTGCTGGAACACATGAAATCAAGAACAGTACATCTACAAAGTTGGGTTGAAATTACTAACCATAGGTAGAGGTTTTGGATATTTGTGGACATCCAGAAGTAAAAGAGCTGTCAAAACAGTTGGAATTTTTTTTATCAAACTTGTGTATTTACTTGGTTATGAATATTAAGAGCTGAACAGTTAAAAATGAGTATTCTCAAAATGATTTGGTTTCACTTCACACTATTTCTTCAGAGATGTTAGTACTTTCTTTAGCTTTATTTAGTTTCAGTTATTAAAATGGAATAAGAATAAACATGGAAAGTAATGGTAAACCAGACATGGTGACTTCTGCCTATAATCCCAGCATTTAGTGGGGAGAGGCAAGTCGCCTGTGGGTTTGGGGTCAGCCTGATGATCTACAGAATGAGGCCATCTGACAAAAGCAAAACAATAAAATGTAATGGAACATATAAAATTAAAAATCTATTAAAGTAGGACTTGAGGCTGGAAAGATGGCTCAGCAATTAAGAGCACTTGCTGTTCTTGGAGAAGACCTGAGTTTGGTTTCCAGCATCCACATCCAGCGGCCCACAACCATCTACAACTCCAGCTCCAAGGGATCTGACACCCTCTTCTGATCTCTGTGGGTACTTGCACACACATGCACATATACACACAAAATTTTTTTAAAATCTAAAATGTTGGAGCTATTATAAAGTAGTATCATTTGAAGAGAAGTGCCCTCACTTAACACTTTCTGATTACATTTTAATAAGGAAATCATTGTAACCATGGTTTGTTCCCAAACCTGCCGTTTCACATAACTAGCAACGGATATATTACGTGAAAAGATGACAGTTTTGAAAAATGCTTTAGACATTTTTTTGTATTTCCAAATGATTGGTGCTACGGCTTGTATCGTTGATAAACATTTAAAATAACTCATTTGTAGAAAAGGGAGTAATTACATTTCTAAATTTTTGAGTTAAGTTACTCTTGGTCATTAAATATTTCCATTATCCTTACTAATCTTTATTTTCAGAGTGGTATAGTATTAGGCTTTCACTCCATGTGGTTATTATATTGAATGTCAGCATATAAAAATTCATGGGATTGAATAAACAACTGACCTGTCTTTATGGCCTATACCTAGTATGTGGTTTAAAATAATTGAAAAATATTTGGCCACACAGGGAGGTCTTAGGAAATTGACTTTAAGGTTTTTTCTCTTGATTATTATTAGAGTAATACTTACTTGGGGGCAGCCTGTTTCACATTCCTATTTCTTAAACATAATTGTAGGGTTCCAGTTCCGTGGTTTAGAAAGTTACATTAGCTGAGAACCCAGTAACTGTTAACTTCATTCAGCTTGTTCATGAGTAGCAGTTACCAAGTGCTTTGTTTTGTGCAGAGCATTGCAGTCTATGGTACTCTTGATGTGGGAATGGGGATAGAGAGCTCTATAGCTATTGACAAACATCTGTTTAAGGATTGGTATTTTAGATGAACCTTAATGTGGTGTATTTCTGAAAAAATAAATGTGAAGTATCTTAAGAGCCCAAGTATGTTTTTGTTTTTTAATGATCCAAAGATCATTGTCATGGTTTTGATTTCTTCTTGTTCTGCTAATGACAAAAGAGGAAGATTTGCCTTAATGAATCTTAACTTGCTTTGAAATTTTTGGACTACTGCTTTTGAGTTGCTGGGAAGCATTTTTTTTTTTTTCCAGTTGTTTGGTCAGAGAATGTATTCATCTTTGGGTTTAGACATACTTACATCATTGATTGTGATTATAGAACTCCCTATGGGTGAGCGGCAAGCAATTACCACACATGTTTTCTGATTTATGATAAATACAGAATGATCTTGGGAAATAATTCTAGTCTCCAAAATATGAGGCAACTATTAACAGAGCATTTTTGTTTTAGGTTTGGATTTTCTTTCCCTTATTCCAGTTGATCCCCAGGTATGTATCCTGAATTTAAGCAACTAATTTGTATTTGATTGTTGGTTATGTCATACTAACTAAAAATGATCGGTTGCATAAAATCAGGACAGTCAACTCTCATACTGATAGGAAGTATTGTGTAAATATTTCACAATTTTATTTCAAAGAATAAAGTTACTGTTTTTTTATTCTTTTTTGTCCTTAATACCTACACTTTATAGTTTATTGAGCATAATCATTTGGTATTTCTTATAAGTGTTTGAGTGATTAAAATGAAAGAGAGCAATGTTATGTGCCTGGACGTTAAGATTTTATAAATAAAGCTTTATTTTACACATAAGAACATATATGTAGAAAATGAACAACTCTAGCTCATCAGATTTGGATCACTGGCTTAGATTTGGATTGAAAGACAGAATCAGACTTGGAGAAGTCTCCAGTTGAAAGTTGCAGTATTGATGTGCTTTCTGTCAAAGAAAAATTCTAAAGAGTACCTCAAAGTCCCAACCTGAAGACTACGTATTGAGCATGGATTCCACTGGCAGGCTAAACAGCAGAGAGAGAACAGAGAAAGAAAGCCAAAGGGCAATGGAATAGCAAAAGAAAGAGATTTAAGGTGCAGATATGGCACATAGGGAGAGGTTGAAGAACTGTAGACCGCTGTCTTTGGGAATTCTGAGAATTCACTAACTGTAGGTCCAGTGTGAGTCACGTTCCTGTTTCAGTGCACTGTGTCTGATGGCACAAACAGCACAAGGATTGAACCCGACTAGCATTACTAAGATTTTATAGGGAACTTATCTATTTTTCCAAGATTTAAATTCTTTAGGCTTCAGAGAATTACAGATTTTTTTTATGTTTACAGTACTTAAAAAGAAAAATGATCTTGGAATCTGAGGTTTTTATTTCATTGCATTATTTAGCATGCTTAGTGGCAGGCTGATTTATTTGTAAATTGGGATGAGGGTGAGTATGTATGTTCCATTTACTGTAGAATCTGTAGGGTTTTTTTCCTTCTTTATCTCTACATGGTTACTTAATCCCTGTTTTTGAGCAGTTGTATACCTTTAGGGTTAAAATTAAAATGGCTGGAAACCAAGTATAAGCGTTCAAGGCACAGAGTCCATGGCAGCAGGACTGTAGCATTTAGCAGTTTTATAGATGAGAACAGCATAAAGGTAGCAGAATTAAAAGCTTCTAGACTTTTCTCTATATTTTCCTCTGAGTTTTAGTATTATTGAAATGTTAAGAAGGTAAGAAATTGATGTGATACCTGAATATTTGTCTTTCAGAGTTTTTTTAGAAGCTCTTTAGGGACTATCTTTGTCTTAATGAGTGAGTGTCCCTTGAATCTCTTCATGTGTGGCATTAATTTTATTGATGAACCTAGAGTTATCTATCTAAAACATCAAGTAACTTACTCTGTTGAAAGGCAGCCTGGCTTTTAGGTGTTGCTCTTCCCCTGACTGGCAGCTTAAACATGAAGTGAACGTTTCAGTTTTTTTATGCGCCTTAGAAATCGTGTAATCTGAACAACTTCGGTTTTAAGTTCCTGTTCCATCATTCATTATCTCTAGGATAAGCTAAATGATATATCGGACGAATAATATTAGTCTGGTAACCTTGTTGATCTTTATTGTAGTCTACCTGTAGCCAAACTTAGGATAGCTCTTGTAGTATATTACTAGACATCACGTGTGCTAAAGTCAGTGAGTGCAGTTGTCTATCATGTAAAACATTCTACAGTGATATAAAAAATAATAAATTTAGCTCTTGTCTCTCAATTCCTCATGGTCATTATTAGAATACTGTGCTCAGGTTTGTATTTGAGAAGCATATGGTAAGGGGTCTTGAAATACGAATATTTGGAGAGGGATTTTACGAAGCATTACAAAGAATATTAGATTTGTGATTATGATACAGTTCTCTGAGCATCCTGTGGTAATTGGCTACCATATAGCCTCCAATTCAGAATGAATGTTGACATTCTAATTATACAAGTATTGTTATATTTGTATATACAGAGGAATCCAATGCGGTCATTCAGTTGGTCACTCTTAATATTATTCAGTCTGTTTGACACTAAAATTTTAAAAGTTGTTGAATTTTGTTTGAATTGTTAAGTTACTTTTGAGGTTAGTGCGAGTCATAATTGTAGATCCCAGTATTTAACATGAAATGATTTCAGTTATTGTTGACATTGATTATACATTTCTCTGTGTATAATATAGTTGAGAAACAAATTCCACACTTTTAAGAGAATCAAGTGAATGTGCTGCATTCATTAAAGAATGTAAAACAGCCAAACTTATACCATATTTCACTCAAAAAGGTGAGGTTTGGTATTTTTAATGCCCCAGGGGATTTAACTATGTGACTATCACTTGTGCATATCTAACAGTTTCTAGTCTCTATTTAAAACCAATGTAGTCTCTTCCTCATCAGCATCATTGTTTGTTTCAAGCAGTACTGTCCTCCTATGTTTTTGGATAGTCTCACCTCACCCTTAACAGCAAGCAGTACGTCTGTCACCACCACCAGCCCCCATGAAAGCAGTACTCATGTTAGTTCATCCAGCAGCAGGAGTGAGACAGGGGTCATAACCAGCAGTGGAAGTAACATTCCTGATATCATCTCATTGGACTAAAGGAGGACTGACTTGATTCTGGGAATCATTCATCAAAACTGTTCTTTCTTGGATATCCGGTCCATGGAAGCTAATTTTTGCAATTTAATATTTATTGAAATGTCAGATGGATTCTTTTGATTTCTGGGAGATGAACACAGATGACTCCAGCAAGAACCATATGACATGCAAGAACTTTTCTTATGCTGTACACTGAACATCAGATACATTCAGCCATAATGGTATCTTCTTGAACAGTGGAATTTCAGTTTCATACCTTATGGAATCTACAAACCAGTTCATTTTTTTGTTATGATAAACAGCAATAAAATTATGTAAATACGTTTAAGTTTCTAATTTTAAAAGATGTAATTATTGATTCTAGAATATCAGCAACTTCTGTTTAATCCAATATGAAGGAAAAATATGTGGAAAGGGGTCATGTTTGCTGAATGAATCCTTTCCATGGAGAGTTGTTCTATTTTGTTGAAATAATGAAGTTTCAGTAAGTGACCAGAGCTTGGGTCCCACTTTTCTTCCAGTTCTCTCCTCTTAGTGATCACGTCAAAGAAAATGGCTTCTGTGCTGTACGTTTTTCCCTTACAGTCATTTCCAGTTTGACGTTGTTTGCTAATGTATGCAGAATGAAGTGCTTGGATTTGACTGCTCTTTATTAGTGATTATGTTTAAGAACACTATGCAGATACTGTCCTGACATATTGTGTTATTTTTGGTTACTATATAGTCTCAGTATAGAGTTTTCTAGAAAATTGAGGCTTGCCTTTTTCAAAAAAGAAAGTCTGCAGCCTTTGAATGAAATGTGTTTGAGGTAAGGAATGGCTGGAATATCTGTTAGGATTTTCTCTGCAGTGTCCAGAAATACTAATAGTTTGGAGCCAGCAGAATCAGTTTAGGAGAGGTAAGAATAACAAAGGTAAATTTCTTCCTAAGTATTTAATTGTTCATGTATCTTATAGACTAATATAAAATCTTGGTTGAACTTTTTACATTTTAGTGGTACTGACATAGAAATTATAGTTTAGATTTCTGATCATAATTCTTGCCAATGTAATTTGTATTTTGGTGATTTTTAGATATAAAGAAAAGTCAGTGGCAAAGGATTGAGGGTGGATTTGGATCTTGTTTTCCTTTGTTTTTTAAAGAGTTCTTTAGTGAAGCCACCCCCCCCCAAATTGGGGGTGTTTGAATTGAAGTGAGGAAGAGGGACCCAAAGCCCACTCTTCATGCCTCACTCCACCTGCCTTTAAAACATTCTGTTCCCATGGCTATATGGGTGTATTTTGAAAACCACTGTCCTTCGGTGTGACTGAGTCACTCAGCAAAATGAGTTCTACTTATACAAAAATGTTTTCGTCCATATTTTACCATTTGCTTCATGCTTCCTAAGTAATTTTTAGTTCTCAAGAATTTAGTGCTTTCCTTATGCTTAAGCTTTCTGTCCTTGAGCTATGTCCAATTTAAAGCAAAACTTTTCTTAATGGCTGCTATAGTTTCTCACGTTCCCACATGAGGACTCTCCACTTTCACTTCTCACAGGGGCATATTACTTCAGAATTGGTGTACGTGTAGAGAGCAAACTTGTTCCTGCTTGGTGTTTTATACTCCTCACGTTTTCATGGCCTTTGTGTGTTCTTTTTGTGCTAATGCAGTATGTGGTTTTCCACTTTGTCCTTTCTTTGACTCCATCACGCCATGCTTGATGATGTATTCTGTTTATAGGGCTTCATGTCATCAGACATGGGAAGCAACACAGGCCCTGTGCTCACAGTAGTTGCACTACAGCAACTGGCTTACCTTGTTCGCCATTAGATTCTAGCTCAAATGATAGTTTTGTCTAGATAGAGATTTTTTTCCTATAGGATCTTAAGTTGTTGCTGTAAGTACAGGTGCAGTTTCTGTTACCTTTGTAATCAGAAAAGTAACCTGGCTTATATGATAACAATTTGTTAAAAAAGAAGTGATGCATATTTGTTATTATTTTGTTACCCATCAGTCTCAAAGACTCCCTTACTATTACCAATTTAATAGACCAAGTTTTATAAGTAAATGAAAATGTTAATAGAAATGATATACTTAGTTCTCGTAATGAGTAACTGCTTTTGTAGTTGTGACACATTTCTTGTCCTTTTGATGTGAACAGTTTTATTGTTCGTTTTTGGTGCTTAACATTGAAATAGTGACTAACACCTTTAAAAATAGGCTTAAGTTTTTAATATTAAAATCGGGGTTTACTTTTTGCAGGTATTTTTGAAGGTGAATTCTTTATGCCTTTGATTATGACATCATGATGATTGCAAAGCCATTATTCTTTCCTTAATATGGTCACATTTTTACAAATATCTTTACTTTTTCACAGTGTCTTTTGCTAGCCCAAATTTTTGTTTAACCAAATATAATGAAGAGCTCATTCTGGCTGTTAACTTAGATATGCACGACCTAGTTATTATCTGGAGTATCTTTATTTAAGAAAGGTGGTAAATGCTTTTACAGTCTTAGTTCACATGGATTTTGATCTTTCTCCACTTAGAAATAGAAATTTGGGGCAGTGCAGATGCTGCACATAACTTCACATGTGAGATCTACTTAGCATTCACCAGCTTTCTGGCCCCCAGCCTAGTCAGTTTAGGATTTTATTTCTTTTCTGTCCATAAATTATAAATATGTGGTATCTGTCATAGGACAGTTTTAAAAGCCAAATGAAATAGGTGAAGTGAATTTAGTTATTTGGCTTTTATGTCATAATTTGTTCAGGAAAGCTGTAATGAAAATAGGATACGTACCTAAGAGATGGTGAGTATGATTCAGTGGATCTACAACTTCTGATGGAAAACAAGTTTCCCTTAGAATAGTCTTAAAAATGTTGGCTTTTAAGCAAAGAAATGTGGACAGAATATTTTGACTTTGATATGACTTCAGACCAGGCCTAGGTACTCATCTTTGTCTTCTGCCAGTAAAGAATTCGGTTACATTTGTATTTTTAAATACAGCTGATTTTCATAAAATATTTTAGTTCTCAGGTATGCCTTTTTTCTCTTGCCTTGAATTGGTTACTTAAAGAGTACTTTTTGGTAAATACTTTTTTGCCCCCTGCAAGTTTGTCTCCAATTCTATGGAATGTCATAATTTATTTCCCAGCTCTTTTTCATCTTAGAAAATAGAGTGTAATTTGAGTCTCACATTGGAGTTCAGTGGTTCTGAGTACAGGTGGTGTGGAAGCTTGCAGCTGACATTTATATGGGTCATTGATGGTTGAACTTGACTGAACATCTTCTATGCTACACTTGTGCACACATTATGGTAAAATCTGTGGAAAAGAATTTAAGAATTTCTCTGCTATTTAAGAGACTGATGCTCCTGTCAAATGACTGGTTTGTGTCCTCTTTGTTAGGAACCATACCATAATTCATAGAAGCAAATAAAGCTATATAAAAATTGTTTGCCCATTCTTTAATGTCTGCCTTGTTGAATGCTTTTGTTTTCCTGTTTATGTGTATGTGATCATTGCAGGGAATTGAAATACGGGACAAAATCAAAAAATGTAACTTTTAGTGTTGCCCCCACCCCCATAACCCTTGCTATGTGTGGTTGAATGTTCTTTTTGATGGAAGGGAAGGGGATGGTGTCATGAAATAGACTCATGTAACCCTGGCTGGCCTTGAACTGATGCTCTTGCCTCATTTCCCACCTGTTGGGAGATTACAGGTGCTATAAGATTACAGGTGTGAGCCACTTTGTCTAGTCCTGTTGGACATTATAGATTGTATCTCATGCCACAATAACTGGCCTATGCATAAATTATTTCCTTAGGATAAATGCCTAGAGGTACAATTTCTTATTTATGAGTGAGTACCTGTGATTCCAAATAGTCATTTGGTCATTTGTTTGTTTGTTTGTTTGTTTGAGACAGAGTCTAACTACATAGCCCTGGTTGACCTGGAACTCTTATGTAGATAAGGCTGTCTTCAAACTCAAGAGATCCAATTACCTCCCAAGTGCTGGGATTAAAGTCGTGTACTATCATGCCAGGCCTTCTGCCTTTAGTCCCAGCTGATTTGGAATTCAATACAGAGACGAAATTGGCCTTGTTCTTACAGAGACCCTCCTGCCTCTCCCTCCTAACTGCTGGTATTCAAAGTGTGTGCCAGTACTCAGGCCCTTTCAATTTTAAAAAATTTTTATTTTCATTTATGTGTGTGAGTATATTGCCTGCATGTAAGTGCATCCCTGTCATGCTGTGCCTATGGAAGTCAGAAGAGGGCATCAGATTCCCCTGGAACTGGAGTTATGGATAGTTGTTAGCCACTCTGTGGGTACTGGGAACTATGTCCTCTGCAAGAGCAGCCAGTGCTCTTAATTGCTGAGCCATCTCTCAAGCCCCTGGCCTTCCATTTTAAAAAAATTATTGCTAATTGATTTGGGCCTAATGGCTCATGCGTTTAATCCCAGCACTGGGAGGCAGAAGCAGGAGGATCATTGTGAGTTCAAGGCCAGCCTGGTCTACATAACAGGTTCTACTTCAGCCTGGGCTGCATAGTGACAGCCTGTCTTGTAGAACAAAAACAGCAAAAAAAAATTTTTTTTAATTATGTTTGCATGTGGGGAGGTGGGTATGTGCACACTTGTGGGTGCTTATGGAGTCCAGAAGAGGGCTACAGGTCTTGGAACTGGAGTTACAGATGAATTGCCTGATTTGGGTGCTGGGACCCTAACTCAGGTCCTCTGCAAGAGCAGTATGTGCTGAGGAACCACTGAGGTATCCCTCCAGCCCTGCCATGTGGGTGCTTTCAGAATTTCAAATACTGAGTTTCCCTTTAGTGTTTACATAGAACCTGTACTCATCCTTTCATACACATGAAATTATCTTGATTATAATACCTAATACAAGTGCTGTCTAAATAAATGCAATACTGTATTATTTAGGGAATAATCTATAGGGAATATCCAATGTGCTCAGTGTACAGGCACAGCCTTTCCCCCACTATTAGAAACCTGTAGGTGATAGGATGCCCTATGGGTACAAGGCTCATGGATATGGAGAGTTGACTAGTTTGACATGTTTCAAAATTTCTTTATGTGTGTATCTGACTTAACATGCGTTTACTTGCACTATGAAGACATGTACCCAATGAAGACCATGTTTTGATTTTGGTTTTCTTTTAAACCATTTGTAAGACCAGCCCTTAAGTAGCCACCTCTCTTTCCTCTTGTAGGCTTCATTTGCTTTTCTTCACAAAAACCAGTAAGAAGCAAAGACAGTCCCTCCCAAACTGGAAAAGGAATCTAAACAGTAGGGCCAATCTCTGCCTGCCCCCTGCACCCCCCACCCCTTTTTTTAAAAAAATTGTGCATGTGGAGGTCAGAGAAGCAACTTGAGGAAGTCTGTTCTCTCCTACCATGTGTCAAATTTGGTAGGAAATGCCTTTACCTGCGGAGTCCTCACTTTAGATTCTTTATGCTGGAAATCAGATATGGGTCTAATAACTATCAGGAAAGAAAACATTGCTAGGCTGGTATGATGGTGCGTGCAGGCAGAGGCAGGTGGTTCTCTTGAGTTCCAGGCCAGCCAGGGCTCCATAGTGAGACTGTCTCAAAAAGTAAGCATTTCTGTGTTTAGATTTTCAAGGTGTAGCATTTTGACAGGCATGGCACTTTCACTGTTTTCCAAATTGCATTTTTTATTTTATTTTATTTTGCTCTTTCTGAGGCAGGGTCTCCCTGTAGTCTCAGCTGGCCTGGAAGTCTTTGTAGACCAGGCTGACCTCAATCTGCTGAGATTAGAGGTGTGCGCCACGATGCCTGACCATATGAGTGATTTAAAGCTGCTATGCTGTCAAAGCTGAACTCTTCCAAGTGAAGAAGTGTGCTGTTTTAAAATAGAAAATTCCTTTTATTTTGAACTTAATCAAACTTTTTATAAGTATGTGGGATAAAGTACCATATGAGACCTGTTCAGGCTTCAAAGAGTTTATAATCCTGTTTTGAAAAATCAAGAATTCCTACCTAGTTAACAGGAATTAAGCTAACAACTTTATATTCTGGTGCCTTGACAAATGAAGCAGATTTGGATCAATTTCCTGACATTACAGTAAGCTAGTACTGAGCCTGGGAGTCTGACCCAAACCTACTAGGGAAGTTCTTTATTTCAGCTAGCAAGACAGTTGTGGTATTCAAGAGACTAGAATGGAAATACAATCATGAGAACTGGTTTCAGATAATGGCAACAGTATTTAGGAATGAGTATATGCAAAGTGCCCTGTTTTGTAGCTGGGAGGCAGAGAGGCAACTCATTTAGGCATATAGTTTTTATTTTTTAAAATTATGTATATGAATGTATTGCCTGCATTAATGTAAGTGCACCAGTTTCATGCAATGCCTGCGGAGGTCAGAAGAGGGCCTCCCCTGGAACTGGAGTTGTGGACAGTTACTAGCTGCCATGTGAGTGCTGGGAACCGAACCTGGATCCTTTGCAAGAGCAGCCAGTACTCCTAACTGTTGAGCTATCTTTCTGGCCTCTAGGGCGATTGTTTAAGCATGAGATGGTTTTTGTTTTTTGTTCTTTGTTTTTTTCTTTTTCAAAAAAGGAACTGTCAGGCCCTTCCCTGTTCTTTGTTTTGTATTTCTCCAGCTGTTGAGAAGCACAAATCTACCTCACTACTTTTCCTTTACTCTCTTCAGTACTATGTATGTTCTACTCTATCCCATTTGCCCATTCACTTCCTCCTAAAGAAGCCTGACTGCATCTCATCCATTTCTCCAGCTCCAATTTTTTTTTGTTTAAATATTTTATTATTTTATGTTTATGAGTGTATTGCCTGCATGTGTTGTGAGTGCACCCATGTTGTGCAATGCTGCAAAGGTCAGAAGAGGGCTTCAGATTCCCCTGGAACTGGAGTTAAGGATGGTTTGTAGCTGCCATGTGGGTGCTGGGAATCGAACCCGGGTCCTCTGCAAGAGCAATCAGTGCTCTTGACTGCTGAGCCATCTCTCCAGCCCCAGCTCCAATTTCAAAAAATACTATTTTTTAAGCCCGGAGTGGTGGCGCACGCCTGTAGTCCCAGCACTTGGGAGGCAGAGGCAGGCGGATCTCTGTGAGTTCAAGGCCAGCCTGGTCTACATAGTGAGTTCCACGACAGCTGGGGCTACAGGGAGACCCTGCTTCAAAAAGCCAAAAAAGAAAAAAAATTATTTTTAACAGAGCATAGGGTAGAGGTTTATTTACAGAAGTGTGGGCGCCCCACATTGACTGTGCCAAAAGGTCCACACTCAATTACAGATCTGTAACCTCCCAACAGCTGTGCAAAATGGGGGGAGAGGTGCCTCTTGGTGGTCTCCAGATATATATCCTTTGCCCCTCTCCCACATGCAACTAAGGTTGACTGATTGGGTGGGAGGGGTAACTGCCTTCCCCCTTGGCTCCTTGATGATCATGGGAGGTGTCACTATAGCTTGCTGGCATAGTGGTTGGAGGACATTTCCAGTTAACACTCCACCTTTTCCTCTGGCCCTTAAATTTTTTTTTCCCACCAACCTCTTCCGCAAAAGTCCCTGAGCCTTGGAGTGGGTGGTAGGTGTGGTATGATCTTCCTCCCATTGTGGCAAGGCACTGAACTTTTGGGTCTGCATCATCTGTTTTCCATGGGCTGTTGGCCAGTTTGAGTGAGATTCCATCTACTATATAAACATACAGTAAGAAGCACGAATACCTAAACAGTGACTGCTATAATAACATGGGTGTAAACAAATCCAGCTCCCAGTTTCTTAAATGAATACTAATGGACAGCCATTTGCATCTGACTTGTACTGAGTATGGAAATTTAATACCTTTTGAAAGTTGAATAATAGCAGATATTCACCAAGAAAGGAGAGCAGAAAGTGAAAGTTTGGAGTGAATGATAGAGGTGATGGATGTGGGTAGTTGGGAAGGTAGCATTGATTTAGAATGCAGTAGCTTACAGTGAAGGAGCAGTTCATTAGGACAATACGGAGTGGGGATGGTAATATGCCACTTGATTTTACAGTAATTCTAAACAGTTAAGCCTCACGCAGAGCCTATTCACCCTCAGTATGAAGGATTATGTACTGAGGACTGCCTCATTCAGGTGAGGTACACCACAGTGAACTCTACAAACTTAAGTCTAATTTATTCTTAGTCTTGAGAAGCTACCAATCTGACCCATTGTTGGACTCACAACTTGGGAACTGGAACAAGAATTTGTTAACCTGGTGGCCCCAAAAATGCACACATGCTGTTAGCAAGATATAGTCATATCCTGCAACATTCTGAAAGGACACTGTACACCTTAGCAATATTCTCCATTTCCCCATCCATCACCGAACACACCCCCAAGTAGGTTACCACTAATCAGCTTCCTGTCTACACATGTACTCCACAAACATTGTGTACATTGAATTATAGATGTTGTCTTTGTGTCTCC